TAGCAGTGCACATTTTGGCCTAAATGTATGAAGAAATTAAACTTTTTAAATTTTTTTAATAGCAAATACTTTTTTCTTTTAATTTTCTGCTTTTTTTTGTTTATAGCACAAACAATAAAAAAACCCAGTGATGATCAAATACCACCAAAGGAAAGCTCTATTTGTGTGAAAAAAATGATATAAATTTCATTTGTGCACAGTGTTTTATAACCGTACAATTGTCGGTTAAAGTAGAGCAGTGCCGTATAGCAAAAAATGGCCTGGTCATGAAATGGCGTAAATCTTCCGGAAGGCAAGTGGCTACTGAACCAGCCAAATTTCAATCCATGTATGGCCAGCTTAAGCCTCTGTCCTGACAGGCACCTGGAAGGCTGGAAGAATGCAGGGTGCCTAGGCACTGTCACATGAGCGAAAGTGTTCTGCTGCTACCAACTGTGAATTATATATTAAAGTGTACATTTCTTCTACTGATTACTTTGTCACATTAAATTGTGCTAATAAATTACTTCTGACAAGGTTAATATAGGTTTACTAAAGGGCAGTAGAACTGTGGCTTCTGACTATTTAGTCTGGCAGGAGTGACCAATCCCAAGCCTTGCTAAACAGAATTACAATTATTCTGGCATAAATAATTATCATATGAGAATCTCAAATCCAGGCATTACTTTAAGTTCAGCTTTAATAGTGCAATGGCCATTCAGAAAATAACACTAATGTGTGCACAAGACATAGCTGGGTTAACACAGACATTTCTGGTCAAAGCATACCAGTAACTAATATGGCTGGGTTATATTGATACACTTATTCTGTACTGCACTAAAGATAGTGAACAAAATCAGACTGTAAATAACTTATTTATAATAATTTACAATATTGTAAGCTGTAAAATAATTTTATTTTTAACTATGATTAGCATCCAAATCTTCCAAATCTCATTAATAATTTAATTTATATAACCATCCTATGATTCAATAATTTTGCTCATGTTTCTTAATTCATTTGGAGACAACTTTCATAGTTAAAACGATAACCGGAGCCAAACCACAATATAAGACATTACACTGGCCTATGAATTAATGCTGATCTCTAGAGAAAAAAAATTAAATAATAGTTACTAAATATTTTTACTGTCCACTGAATACATAAAGGAATGTGTTTTGTGATTTTTTTTTTCTTTTCTTTTAAAATATACATTTCCCAGTTATAACAACAGGCATGGCGTATTGCAGAATTAAGTGCTAGGCTCTCTGGTGCTTTGGGAGATGTAAACTACAATTTTTACTCCAAATCCACAATACACTTCACTAGCTTGTGTTCTCCAAAGGCCCAGAGCAGCTCCTTAAGATGATGAGCGTCTTAGAGAGTGCTTTGGTAAATCATGCAAACAAGAGCGAGAAAGAGGACAAAGTCTTTCCCTTTCCCTATTTTAAAAGGTAAAGGAAAAAAAATACAACAGAAAATTGATTTACAAAATTGTGCCACCAAGAACAAAAAAAAAATGGCATGTGAAATACAGAAAAGCACACTTTTTCCTAATATACTATGAGGAAAAAAAACATGGCAAAAAAAAAAACATTTTATAATTCATTGGAGAAAATAAAGTAGATGACCTTAACAATTATTTGTCATTTTACTCAGCAAACTTTTATTTAACATTCTTAATAAGACTTACCTAAGATTTTATATATCGCCTTTACTTTAATATGTTTACATGGTAAACCTACAATGTTATTTTTATCTTTTAAATTCAAGCACACTGACTCCTCGAGCACTAAGAATATATGTAATTACCCCCCCCCCCCCCCATACCCACACGACAACATTTATTAAAATCCTTTAAAATATTTTTCACAAATGTAACATGGAACAGACTGGACTGTAAGGTCTCATTTACAATCTATAACTGGAAATTATGAAATTAATTGTTTTAATAATTAACTTTTTTCAACATTAATAAGAATGCCATTTCTTATATTAAAGCAGGCTGACCATATAAGCCAATACGCAATACGCCCAATATGCTTTCCAACAAAGGCTCTGGAAATTAGCAATTGCCTTTAGAAACTTTAATTACAATTTGAAAATGCTATTTCTGCTGTATAATAGATTCCAATTGTTTCAGTATTATCTGGCTTGCAAATAAAATCTACAGTAGATGACAATATTCCCTGGATTAATCACTCTTGAAATTCTAATATGCTCTTGAAATACCAAATAAAAAAGACAGCAATGTTGTTGATGTACTGAAAGCTTCTTGCTTTTTGCAGTTTGCTATTATTATGCATATCCAGGTAGAAAGTTAATTAACCCAAAGCTTAAGCTAATTATGATAGCAGAATGCTATCAACCAAACGCTTTCAGTCAGACAGCTGTCCAGAATTTCATTTGCTAATCATTTGTCTTTTGGCTGAGCATATGGTACATTTTCATGCTATCAGAGGAACAACAAACAGCTGAAAATCATTAACTAAAAACAATGTGCATAAAATCAGAAGCAGTTTTTTATACAGCTTTGTGTCAAACAAAAAAGCCAGACTTGTGCCCTATAAAAATTAATGATTATTTTTGCTCTTGTCACTTAAAAAATTTGGCTGATGGTGCAATAAATCTGCAGTAAGAATTTCACTTTCCCACCAATACCTGCTTATAACGAGAAACACAAATCCAAAATATTCTGAGGTTTGGAGGAGCAATGGATTTAGACAAAAAGAATGAGCCTAGTGACAAAAAAAAGCCTAGTGAAAGGTTATTGACATAAAAGCTCCATATACCAATTTACTGGAAAGTATGAGATGCCAACCAGAAAGAGATAAGGAAGAAAACACCACACTGGAGGCAGTTTTTGTGGTGCTTGAGTTTTATCCTTGTGCTTTAAAAATGGGTGTCACGGATACATGAGTTATGGAACCCACAGCCAATAGACAGTGGTCCAACTGTCAATGACATTTGGTATCTCAGCCAATTTAAGCGCTAACATAAATACAAGTAATAAGCCGGCCATAGATGCTTTGAATCATGGCCAATTCAGAAGGGTTGTACGACTTGGGTACAATAAGCCTGTCAAATTTTTTGCCAGTGGCTACAGCCACTAGCAATATTCGTGGTGTTCTCCAGGCAGTAATGGCTCCCCTGCATGCCTCCCTGCCAGGAGAACACAATCGCTTTGCAGGAGGGATTCCCCATCAACACTGACAGTGGTTGCAAGAAAGAAAATCGCATAATCTATGGCCAGCTTTAGGCAGGTCTTTGATAGCAGCGTTTTAGAAACCCAAACTAAAGAACAAAGAGCTACCTGATAAATATTTCCAGCCCAGCTGATAATCCAAGAATTTACTGCAAATAACAGATCCTTTTCAGAACCTGTCAAAGAAGATTTTGTATTATCTATACCTTAGGAAATTAGAATGTACAATGTTTTACTAAAGTATTCAGTCTATTGTAGTGTAACACCGAGGCTTACTTATAAAGAATTAGGCACTTATAAAAAAAAAAATACAGTAAAGCAGAAATGCTTTCAAAAATATAACAACTACTTTTTTGTCACTGAAACAAAATTTAAATCAATATTTGGTGAGAACACCCTCTCTTTATAACACAGCCACAACTCTCTAAAGTACGCTTGCATGCAATTTCTGAAAGTATTGGAATAGTAAGCTGTTCCAAGTCCCTTGAATTTGCAGTAGTTTCAGATATTGGTAGTACTTCCTGTTGACTCCATGATGTAAACCCAGAATGACTCCAAGATGTTGAGATCAGGATTCTGTGGTGGGAACATTATCGGTTACATGATTCCTTGTTATTGTTATCACTCCAAATAGCTCTTTATAATTCTGGCTGTGTGTTTGTGCTGTCTTTCGGCAGAACAAAGTTGGGATCAAGTAAATGCCTCCTTGTTGGTAATGCATGCGATAAGCTGCTAATTATTGAAGTGTTTTGCAGTGCTGCAATAAATGATACATGCATACTTTCTGGTGCTCTGTGGTGCATTAGCCAGCTCATTCAAATTAATATGCTTAGAACACAAAGCACGTTGATGCGTGCGCAGTTATACACAGCAATGGTTTTAAATGGGCCTAAAAGGAATATATTTTGTTTGGCACTGATAACATAAGAATGAAAGACAATAAGTTTAATGCAACAAATTGTTCAATATAAGAAGTAACATACATTTGTTTTAGATCAACTTTTGCAAGTAAAATCTGTACTCAGCTTTGTATTCTTATACATAAAGTATACAAAAAAGCTTACAAACTATGTAATTCATCACCACCATTTTTTTTTGCTTTAAAAGATAATTTCACCTATTTTAACATGCTACATGTTACACCCATATGCAGGGTGTAACATGAAATTGCTGCAGATGCCCCGCACCCCACAGTCCCCGCTGTGACAGCAAACCAAGGATCTTCTCCCTGTGTATGCTACCACAGCTCAAAAAAGAGGCAGTAGCGCGGGGCTCCGCCCACTCAGCCACATCAGACGTTTACAGTATTCCATGAATGGGAAAATACAACTACCGACAGCCCTTGCAGCTGTCAGGTTGTAGTTCTCAATTAACTACTGCAGCGCTGTTGTAGTTCGTTCAGACTTCCTGAGAGTGTGTAAATGACTGCTTGCCCGAGGTACGAAAAGACAGCTTACACACAGTCCGCAGAAGCCCAGCATAGCACCCACGATCTGCCGCTCATGGGTGCAATGCTTTACAGTCTCCCAATAATAAAATAATAAATGTCAATTTTTTTACCTGCAAAAAGATGTGCATTTATTTTGTATTTTTTGAAAGGGTGACCTTATCCTTTACGATGAATTCCAGGCACTGTATATTTTTAAATAGTCTAGCTTCGACTAATGTAACTATGTACAGGTGCATCTCAATAAATTAGAATATCAAAAAGTTAATTTATTTCTTTATTTCAGTAATTCAATTAAAGTTAAACTCACATTATATACCGTATTTTTCGCTCCATAAGACGCACCTGACCATAAGACGCACCTAAGTTTTAGAGGCAGAAAACAGGAAAAAAAAATGCTGAACCAATGGACTGCAGACATAGTATAGTACAGAGATGACCAGGAGAGACTGCGGACACAGTTCAGGGGATGACCAGAGACTGCGGCCACAGTACAGGAGATGACCAGAGACTGCGGACACAGTACAGGAGATGACCAGAGACTGCGGACACAGTACAGGAGATGACCAGAGACTGCGGACACAGTACAGGAGATGACCAGAGACTGCGGACACAGTACAGGAGATGACCAGAGACTGCGGACACAGTACAGGAGATGACCAGAGACTGCGGACAGCACAGGGATGACCAGAGACTGCGGACACAGTACAGGGATGACCAGAGACTGCGGACAGCACAGGGATGACCAGAGACTGCGGACACAGTACAGGATGACCAGAGACTGCGGACAGCACAGGGATGACCAGAGACTGCGGACAGCACAGGGATGACCAGAGACTGTGGATAGTACAGGGGATGACTGCTGACCTTTGGGGAGGGGGGGAGCGGGTACCTGAATTTGACAGATACCCGCTCCCACTTCCACGGAGTTGTTCTTTCATCTTACCTGTTCCTCTATCCAGCCGCGCGCTGTCTTCCCGGCTTCTGTAATGGCGCTCGGCATGACACCCGGGTGCCCAGTGCGCATGAGCGAGAAGCACTTGCGCTTTGTGATTGGTCCGGCAGCTTCTGGGATCTGTCATGTGTCCCAGGTGCCCGCCTTACCATTCACAAAAAGCACCGCTTCCTGCGCATGCGCACTTGGCACCCGGCTGTCATGCCCACACTACAGAAGCCGGGAAGACCGCGCCGCTGGATAGAGGAACGGGTAAGATGAAAGAACAACTCCACGGAAGTGGGAGCGGGTATCTGTCAAATTCAGGTACCCGCTCCCCCCCCTCCCCAAAGGTCAGCAGTCATCTCTATAAGGTCCTGCTGTAGAGCTGAGTGGCCGGCCCGGTATTCTGACACGGCGGCAGTGGAAATACCGGACCGGCCACTCCATATTCGCTCCATAAGACGCACTGACATTTTCCCCCCTTTTTTTGGGGGAAAAAAGTGCGTCTTATGGTGCGAAAAATACGGTAGATTAATTACACACAGAGTTATATATTTCAAGCATTTCTTTCTCTTAAGTTTGATGATTATGGCTTACAGCTAGTGAAAACCCAAAATTCAGTATCTCAGAAAATTAAAATATTGTGAAAAAGTTCAATATTGTAGCCTCATGGTGTCACACTCTAATCAGCTAATTAACTCAAAACACCTGTATAGGTTTCCTGAGCCTTTAAATGGTCTCTCAGTCCGGTTCAGTAGTTTACACAATCATGAGGAAGACTGCTGACTTGACAGTTGTCCAGAAGACAGTCAATGACACCCTTCACAAGTCACAAAAGGTCATTGCTAAAGAAGCTGGCTGTTCCAAGCTGTATCCAAGCATACTAATGGACAGTTGAGTGGAAAGAAAAAGTGTGGTAGAAAATGGCACATAAGCAACAGGGATAACTGCAGCCTTGAGGATTGTGAAACAAAGGCCATTCAAGAAATTGGGAGAGATTCACAAGGAGTGGACTACGGCTGGTGTGAGTTCTTCAAGAGGTACCACACTCATACGTATCCAGGACATGGGCTACAACTGTCTCCTTCCTTATGTCAAGCCACTCCTGAGCCAGGGACAATGTCAGAAGCGTCTTACCTGGGATAAGGACTAGAGTATTGCTAGTGGTCCACAGTCCTCTTTTCGGATGAAAGTCAATTTTGTATTTCATTTGGAAATCAAGGTCCCAGAGTCTGGAGGAAGAGTGGAGAGGCACAGATTCCAAGTTGCATGAGGTCCAGTGTAAGGTTTCCACAGTCAGTGATGATTTGGGTAGCCATGTCATCTGCTGGTGTTGGTCCACTGTATTTTATCAAGTCCAAAGTCAGCGCAGCCCCCTACCAGGAAATTTTAGAGCACTTCATGCTTCCTTCTGCTGACCAGCTTTATGAAGATGCTGATTTCATTTCCCAGCAGGACTTGGCACCTTTAATGATCACGGTATCAGTGTGCATGATTGGCCTACAAACTCACCTCACCTAAACCTCAAAGAGAATCAGTGGGGTATTGTCAAGAGGAAGATAAGACACCAGACCCAACAATGCAGACAAGCTGAAGGCCACTATCAAAGCAACTTGGGCCTCCATTACACCTCAGCAGTGCAACAGACTGATCGCCTCCATGCCACGCCGCACCAATGCAGTAACTCATGCAAAAGGAGCCCTGACCAAGTATTGAGTGCATGGAGCCACACTTGCTGATGTCCCGCCGCCGTTGCCGAAGGTCAGAACAGTGGCCATCTTGGTACTCCATTTTACCTTCATTCTTACTTGTTTCCATGTGGATTGTCTTTTATTCATTATTTAATAAAATACTACACTATATACTACTCATAGGAGAGGGTCCACCTGTGTTTTTTGCCCTTGGCTGAGCTTTCCTTGCAGAGGCTTCATTGCTGTTACCTATACCCAGATGAGATGTGCTTACATGCTGTTTACAAGTAGATGTCTGGTGAGTGTACATCTGACAGAGGTGGAGGATTCTCTATTGGATCACTTCACAATATTTCACCGTGATTGCTGTACTTACATCCTTATGGACAATTATAGCTCTTACTCCACTGATATTTATGGACTTTATATATTCTCACTTTTATGCTGCACTTTACTGTTTCACATTTATTGAATGCTTTATCGAACATTTTTTATATTTGATTTTTATAGGCTGCCCTTGAGTGTTCCGCTGATCAAGTTTTTTTTTTCGCTATATGTCAGATTGACTTTGCACTTTATTTTCACTATAATATCATTCACTTATTTTAGCGCTGCACTTTCTATATATTTATACTATACTGTACATGACATACTTTTCAGAAAGCCAACATTTCTGTATTAAAAATTCTTTTTTTATTAGTCTTATGTAATATTCAAATTGTCTGAGTTACTGCATTTTGGGTTTTCACTAGCTGTAAGCCATGATAATTTAAATTAAAAGAAAGAACTGCTTGAAATATATCACTCTGTGTGTAATGAATCATCTGAATATATGAGTTTCAACTCTTTTATTTGAATTACTGAAATAAATAAACTTTTGATGCTATTTGAATTTATTTAGATGCACCTGTATATACTATACCTGGCCAAAGCTCCTGGAAGCCAGAAATAACTGAAGTAGGCACCACTACTTTAGTCATCCCCACCTGTTTCTAGGTCCCCTGCTGAGCAGCCAGCCTGATGCATTCTGAACAAAAGGAGGTCTGATGCTCAGCACAAGAACCATTCAGTGGATGCCTTGCATTTTTTGAATGAATGCAAAGAGTTCCCTGATTGAACGAGGTAGAGAGGCAGGGCAGTGACATCATACTCTTCACCTCTTCCAATAAGAGAGCACTTTGCATTCATTGAAAAAAATGCAAAGCATTCTCTAAATGGCGCCCATGCCGGGTGGCTGGCGACCTGTGTTCAAATGCATCCGGCTGGCTTAGCATGGGACCCAGAAGCAAGTGAAGGTCAATGGAGATCTCAAATTATTAAATGAAAAGTGCTCGCAGTGTCAAGTTTATTTCTTTAATAGACAACTACATCTATGTTAATAGCCCCTGACACCTTCATCAAGCCTTCTGCACCACTGAGACTTAAACAGTAACTCTCCATAAACATGTATAGGATCATACTCCTAGCACTAATACAAGAGAAAGGCTGATCCTAATCTTTCCAAAGTTTAGTTTCATGTTTTAAAATGTTAACTTTGCACCCTATACTAGTTCAAATTACAGAACTACATTACATAGAGATTTTGGAGAACATTATGGAGATTTGTATGCTGGAATGGTTAGCAAAGGTTGCTGCTGTTTCACAGTCCCTAGTGTGAGCTAGGAAGAGCATCCAATATAGAATACTGAAGCATATATAACAGTTATGGTATTTGGCCATGCCCATTAGTCTCATTGAGATCTAGGCAGCATATTATTAGTACTATGCATGGGTGTATGATCAGTAATAAGCATGAAATTTAGATTTTCAAGCGTAACATTTACATATATGTCTATCTGGCAGTATTGCTAGGGATTTTTAGAATATTGCCTGAGGAAAAGGGCTTTGGAACTTAGTTTTTTTTATAACTACATTTTGATATGTGTATTTTTTTTTATATGAACTGTTTTAATAAGCGCTGGTTAACTGATTGTGTTCCCTGTATTTTGTGTGTACTTTCTATTACTCATGGTGTTACAATGCCCGATATTCAAATAATGCAGAGTTTACAACTAGGGAGTCTTGTTGCAAGACAGTGACATCTTTTTAACAGCTGTGTGGGAGGGGGCAGAGACACATAACTTCAGGCAAATCTCAGCAATGGGTAAAAAGTTGACAGGTACTTCGAGCCCCTTTGAAAAAAAATCAACTTTGGATAGACTTGGCTTTTAAAATGGCAATGTGTTAGCAGTCAATTAACCACTTGCCATCCTGAGGATTTACCCCCCTTAATGACCAGGCCTTTTTTTTGCTGTTCGGTGCTGCACTATTTCAACTGGTAATTGCACAGTCATGCAATACCCAAATGAAATTTACGTCCTTTTTTCACACAAATAGAGCTTTCTTTCAGTGGTATTTGATCACCTGTGTGCTTTTTATTTTTTGAAGTATAAACAAAAAAAGACCGAAAATTTAGAAGAAAAAAAAAAAAAAACAAATATTTTTTACTTTTCACTATAAAAAATATATAGTAAACTCAAAGTTAGTCATAAATGTAGGCCAAAATGTATTCTGCTACATGTCTTTGGTAAAAAAAAAAAAAAAAAAACCAATAAGTGTATATTGATTGCTTTGTGTTACAGTTATAGCGTCTACAAACTATGGTATAGATACTGCAATTTATGCCATTGTTTGCTATACAGCGCTGCGCTAGTTTGACAATTGTGCAGTCATGCAATGCTGTATATAAATAACATTTATGTCCTTTTTTTCACACAAATAGAGCTTTCTTTCGGTGGTATTTGATCACCTGTGCGTTTTTTATTTTTTGATTCTGCGAACATTGCGGTTTTGTCTGCAATGTATCAAGTGACAGTGAACTACTGACACTGCACTTGCTGGGTGAGAAGGGGGGGGGGAAGCGTAGGGGCTAAACGCAGGTGCTGGCAGGTGCCGGGGCTTCATTTTTGGGGATGCTATACTAATGTAAACGCTGGTATAGTGCTGATCTGATCAAAGATATTGATCCGTTCAGACACTATACTAGCAATGAGGGTTTATTGTGTATGTGAGCGTGTTCCTGGCAATCAAGGGGTTAAATGTGATTACTGGTGTACTAACGGGCAATCTGAAGCTATCTGGGAGGGGCGCTAACTAATGCTAACACTATCTGAAGTCACCAGCGACAGTAATACAGTGACCAGCAAAAAATCTGTACACTGCACTAATGACACTGGTGACAGGGCAGTGAAGGGGTTAACTGGGGGGGCGGTCAAAGGGTTAAATGTGTCCTAGCGTGTTATAACTAATTGTGTAGTGCTTTTATTCACTTTTGTGTTGATTCTTCTCTCTTTGGGATGGAATGTGCCCAGAGAGAGATTTCATCACTTCCTATCCTGTGTAACTGTCAACACAGGACAGGAATTGACCATCCGACTTGGGCTGGGTATCACTGGCCAAAATCGGATGATTGATC